TTTAAAATCATGAGACTAGATGAAAGCACCAAGGGAAGGTATACAGATATAAAAAGGGGAGGACCAAAGACCAAGCCCTGGGGTTCACCAACATTGTAAGTCAGGGAACAAAGGAAAAATCAGCAGAGACGTGAGAAGGAGCTGCTCATAGGTGGAGATAAAACCAGGAGGACATGATGGCCTATGAGCCAAGCAAAATAAAAGTTTATTCTGGGTGAAGGAGTAATCACTTGTAGCAAATGTTACTGACAGGTAAAATAAGATGAGGTCTGAGAAATGACCATTGCATTTAGCAACCTGGAGGTCATCCATGACTCTGACAAGAGGAGTTTCAGAGAGTGCTGGGGGTGGCAGCCTAACTAGGGTGAACTTGGAGAAAAGGGTAGAAGAGTAATTGGGGTGTCATGGACAGACGACTGCTTCAAGCTGCAAAGGCAAACAGAGAAATCAAGCAGAACCTGGCAAGGACTGCAGACAAGGTAAGTCGTTTGTGCTTGAAGTGAGAGAAACAAGAGCATATTTGTTTCATGACAAGAATGCTCTAATACAGAGCAAAAAAAAGAGAACATTTAGTGAGAAAGGAGAGATTTGCTGCAATTATCCCTCAAGAAAGTGAAGCAAGTTCACTTGTGCTTCATTTAGGCTGAGCACAGAAAGGAGACAGGTCACCTGTGGTTGCAGGTGAGGGTGAGGGCAGGGCACTGGGCAGTATAGACACCAGTCTATGTGATGGTGGGAGTGTTCATAAACTCTCTTCTGGTAGGTTCAGTTGAGAAAGGGGGATGGGGAGGAAGATTGAAGAGAGAGAATAAGGTTTGACACCGTGTATCATCTAGGTATGAAAGAGAGTAAATGGGCTAGGAGAGCCCAGGATGACTGATCCATGTAAACAACCGTAACCAAAAGACCCCATCACGGCAGCTATCCCTTGGCATGGAATCCCAGAACAACACAAAAAAGTGTCCCAAAAAGTTGAGAAATGCAGTGTGGTTATTATAACAGGTATATGAATTTCCTCAAGGGAGCACATATGCGGAGAGACTGTTACGGACACTTTCAGGAAGAGTATGCCTCCTTGAGAGGGAGCTCAGAGTGAGTCTTTCTATTATTTTAAATACCTCATTAGGTTTGTCCCAGTGGTTGTAACAAACAAGGTGAGAAGTCTCCAAGGTTTTAGCATATTAGGGAATTTAAAGGCTATTATATCAGAAAAGGTAGATTAAAAAATTAAGTCTACAGTATAAACATAGGGGAAGGGAAACTTAACTCTAACCCAACACATTTCCTCCTGATAAATAAAGTGTATTAGTTCTAGACTATTGACTCCAATATTAAATCCAAGGTACATTTTTTAACATTAGTGGTTAATAATGCAAACAAAAAAAAAATCAAGTATCTTTCTGTGTAGGGAATTACACCATTTTTCTTTATCACTTGAGTATTTTGTTATTTTGACACAGGCATTATGGGGATAAGGATTCTAGAACAGAAAATTTAAAGGATGGCAATAATTCTGAAATATGCAAAACCTACACTCTTGGTTAAAACACACAATGTAGCTAGTGAGGTCGTAAAAGAAATTGGTAGGAGACAGGAGACCTGGATTCTGTCCAGTATAGTTTAATTTATTTAAAAAAACAGAGAAACCTAGGTTTAAGTCTGAATTTTGCTACTTACTATGTGATATTGAGAAAGTTATTTAAACACTCAAAGTCTCAGTTTTCTCATCTGTAAAATGTGAAAATGGTATGACTACCATTATTAAATGTATTAGTAAATATAAAGCACTCAGCCTAGAGTTGAAGATATAGTAAACATCCTGCTGCTGCTACTGACGATGATGAGATGATGATGATGATGGTAACAAGGAAGAGGAGGGGAAGAATAAGCCTGTGCTGACAGCAGTGTGGTGGTAGATGATGGGGGTGTGTGATGACATCTATGTCTACCACTAAGAAACAGTTCTAAGGCAAATTCCTCATCTTCTCTGGGCCCAGTAATCTGCCTGCTACATTAAGGGTACTCAACAAACTCTTACTGAATGAATGAATGTTTTAATAATTTCTAAAGCTCATCCAGCTACACCACATGAGATAATTCTATGACTTTGCAGTAATCTTTTCCTGGCTCTTAACACTTAGGCTTGTGGTATACCAACAAAAATAAGTGAATTTTCTATGACATCTGTCAAAAACCAATTATGAAGGCTCAGTTAATCATTGCAGTTACTTCATTCACTTGAAGCTATTACATCTTTAGGGAGTAGGAAGAAAAAGAATGATCAGAAAGAGGAATAAGTAAAAGAAAAGTAGGAGGAAGCTGAGAGCAGTGTTTGGGGAACGAATGGTTCCAATACACTCCCAATGGGGCCCAGTCTTTGGAGACCCGACCACCTGGTTACTTCACAACAAAACTTCACGCTGAGTGTACGTGTTCACAAAGGAAGAATCATCCTAAGGAATAGCATGTCCACTTAGACTTGCAAGTAGTCTTTAGGAATAGATGTATCCCCCTAAGACAGGCAGGCTGGGCATTTTCTGCGGGGCACATGGTTACTGCTCAATTGCTGATATTACTTTCAACTTTGTAAATATAAAGAAGCCTTGGCTGGTTTCCTCTGGCCACAGAACCAGTGCATCTCTGGGCCAGCTCAACTCACCTGTTCACACAAACTCCTGATATCATTAACTGGCACAGGTTCCTACAGAAACTTATGTGCTTTTGGACCTCCACATCTCTGCTTAGACTTTTTTGGGGGTGTGGGGAGGCATATGGGATGCTAACTTAGGCCAAGTCTGAAACCATGAGTACCCTAATAAAAATATATACTTCTATTATGTCAGCACCTCTTGGGGTCTCTCTAGGTCCTCGTCCAACTGACTCTGAACCCCAGAGTTCTGGTTTGGTGTCTCTTGGTTTATCTCTACATTCTATCTCTCCAGAAGCTTTTGTTTCATTTTGTTTTTATTTTTGATCCCTGGATATTGTGTCACAACTTACGTTTGGTTCTCCCAGCCACATTTCAGCACGACTAACAATTTAGACTTACATGTTCAGGGATCTACTCTCTACCTTCTCTAACAAACTCCTGGTCATTCCTTTAAGATTGAGTTTAGACACTGTCACTGAAATGTCTCTGAAGAAGAATGAGAAGATCATATTCCTTCTCTCTGCACACGTTGCTCATTGTTTTGTCTCCCGAACATGACTTTCAGCTCTTTAATGAGAGTAATCATACTGTATCCCCAAGATCTGGCCCAGAGCATGCTGTGGGTGTTTATATCTGCCCATGCAATAAGTAAACACATATAGCAGATGCTTAGCCTCAAAACTAAAGGTAAAATCAATTCTTCTCTCAAAAACAAAACAAAACAAAACAAAACAAAAAAAACTTTGTTCTGTCTATTTTTTAGATTTCAGTGTGCCCCTCCCATTGGTATTCATGATATTCTGTCCTCATTTCTCCTAAATTTTTTATAAAATACTTATCCTTGGAGATCTGGCTACTCTTCATTTTTAAGTAAGGTAATCTAAGGGTCAGAAATGAATGCCAAAGCCACAGTAGAGGACACAAGAGAAGCTACTACTGCCCTAAACAGAAGACTAACAGCAAGAAGTCATTGCTAGTTGACTTTTGAGGGTTTGTAAACCATGAAAAGTATTTCAGAAGCAGTTTGAGAGGAAAAAAAAAAAATCCACACAATGACACTCTGACACTCAGCATACCAGGACAGTGGGAAGAGCTTTGGAAGTCAAGAAATGGACTTCTAGCCACAGCTGTGCCTTAGCCAGCTCTGTGACCTCGGAAAAGTCAGTTAGCATCTCTGGACCTCATTTACTATAAAAGCGAGGATATATTTTATGTTATTTTTATTTTTGGAGTCAGGGTCTCACTGGAGTACAGTGGCATAACCATGGTGTTCACCACAACCTTTACTCTCTGGGCTCAGGTGATCCTTCCACCTCAGCCTCCCAAATAGCTGGGACTACGGGCATGTGCCACCATGCATGGCTTTTTTTTTTTTTTTTTAATAGAGATGTGGTCTTGCTATGTTTCCCAGCCTGGTCTTGAACTCCTGGGCCTAAGCACTTCTCCTGCCTCAGACTCCCAAGGTGCTGGGGCTATAGGCATGAGCCACTATGCCCTGCAAAAGCAAGGAATTAAACTAGACCTCAAGCATAAAACTTTAAAGGTTCTGTGACCTGAGGATAAATTTTCAGGTGCATTCCACTGAAGCAAAGACTAAATGTAAACAACAGCAATGGAGATAGGGGGAGAGTGCTAGGAATAAAACTGGCAGAGGGTGGCTGAACAGTCAGTGACATCTTTTTTTTTTTTAATGAATGCATTCAAATTATTTCAGACCCAATTAAAGGAAACAGATTATGTTATGAAGCATTAGGCATAGACATATGCCTTCTTTTTCTGATTGTACTTTGTTCCATTGTTTAAGAAAATTTTTTTTCCCCCTAAACAAGAAAGTAGATTTAATCCTGATTGTTAAAAAAAGGGAAAATAAATTTATCTGCATCTGTGCACTGGGTCTCATTGTTCACTGGCACTATTCTAAGAGAATCCTTTGAGTTACCTTCAGTCCTCTGACTAGTGGGAAGAGAAAGCAAGAGTACATGGAGAAGGAAGTAAAGCTCAGCTGTGCCTCTCCACTGTCGCTGTTGCTTAGCAACATTCCACATCTCCCTCTGAGAAATAACCTCTCTGGGAGGTGACACAGAGGGAGCATCCTCGGCTGACCCATTCTCATGAAGTGGATGGTGTGCCGATGTTCCCAATGCAACACCATTAAAAAAACAAGACTGATTTTACCAGACACGCATTTTCTTGGAAATATAATCTGAGAATTATCACAGCAAAAGTTCTGTGGATCCCCTTCGACAGCCAAAAAGGAAATCTGAGAGGCAAACTACTAAGCCCAAACTATCGAAAGTGGAAGAAGAATGGAGAAGTTATTTCTCATGTGCATGAAGGACTTGGGACTCACCACTTATCCACTTAGCCTCAGGGTCATGAATTTTGAAATCTTCACTGAAGAGATCTTCCACAGTGACCTTCTTCTTTTGAGACAAACTATTATCTTCCGCTGGAAAAAAGCAAGGCAAATAGTTAAACACTTTTTTTAATTGGTAAAATGAAAGGATATAAATATTCACCATGCAGAAGCAGTATGTAAAACATATAATTTCCACATATCAATGCTGAACAAAAGCCATTCTTGCTTTTTATTTTTAATTCCGCTTTCAAAGACTATGCTAAAAAGATTATGGCATCACGCCTCCTCTTCCCCACTCGAAACAATATAAATGATCATATTTCTTAGTAGGGATGTTAAAAATTATCTCAGGATTGATTTATCAATAATAAAGTGGGAGTTGTCAAGAGAGGAAGGTACAATATCCAGAATGGATTTCAATTGTATTATATAATCAGTCATGTTTAAGCATTCATTAAATGTCACTGTCTATGGGCAGCATGTCGAGTGCTAGGAACTCAAATACATATAAAATATCCCTTAGGTATTTACTCCCCATAAGCTTTACATGTTGGTGGCTATCTCTGAGTTGCAGATTAGTTTTTGTTCAGGCAGGATCAACTCCCAAATATATGTATACAAATTACCAGCTTCTGCCCTGCATCATCTTGGTTACTATGCTTAAGAGTAAGCACTAGGGATAAGCCTACAAAAGTACTAGACTATTCATCCTAAGAGGATATGTTTAGCTAATGGCACAAGTGGGTGAGACTTTAAAAATTTGGCAGCTTTTATCCTATTTTCAGAGGTCAAAGCTTCTGGGGTTTTAACTTTTCCTCAGCAAAGGTGTCTCCATTAGAGCCACAAAAATGCATTCATATACTTTTAAAAGACAAAGTACTGTCAGGATGTCTGACCTGTGATGTACAGTGATAGTAAGGGTAGTAGAACAGATAAAGCACAAGGTCAATCCATTCCACCACCCTCACTTTTGTCATACTAATAAAAAAATCTTTATCCTAACTTGACCATTTCTGATGTTCATAATCCACCTAGAATGCTTATTTACTTTCCAGACCTCTTACATAGAAGAAGTTAAACATCACTGCACATTTTTTGAAGACTCCCAGTTCTCAATTCATCAGTTTCCTGTTGTATTATGAAGGGTAATCTTAGTGCTAATTTAGGTGCATGGGTCTGTATGCATTCCATGTTAGGTGGCTACAGACCGTTATGTTTTTGCACCTTCATGTTTGGTTGTTACATCTGTTTCTCTTTTTAGTTTCTGGCGGTTACAATTTCTTGGGCTGTCATTGTGTTTGACCTCGACAGTATCATTTGCCTCTTTGAATTTTGCTTCAAGACCTGTGGCAGGTTAGGAAAGCAGCAAGAAATTTTGTTCAAATTCATAATGAAATAGGAATAAATTATTCTGAATGAAATTCTCAGAGTTTCTTCTAAAACTCTAGTTCGTAGGTTTCATTACATCACTTTCGGTTTCTTTTTTTCTATTAACACCTCTCTGGATGTTAATAGAATACCAAGTTGCCAGAAAAAGTCATGTGTTCCTTTGTGCATTAATTGATTTTAGAAATATCAAATAAACTTGATGTACATAAAAGTCTTTTGAAAATTACAGAATGATGTGATTCAAACAGATCCCTATTGTGATGACTGTATGTGGAGCGATCCCAGGTATCGAACACAGTATGTTTCATCAACAAGTGCTTCCCTCTAGAAGTTTTCTATGCACGATTGAAGCAGCCCTGGATGAAGACACACAGCTTCAAACATGATGCATTTTCATACCCAGAACTATAAATGAGTATTTTAAATATTTCTAGACATTGACCCAATAAAGTTATACTATGATCTTGCAGTTAAGAAGTCAACATTTCTAAGACATTTTTAAGTATATGGTCAAGAAAATAAATAATCGTATTAAAATTTAAATTTTATCGGATTCAATTTTACTATTCAAGGGTGATTATAGATCTATGTTTTGGGGCATCCATGTGTCCAATAGTCAAAGAATGCAAGACTGCCACTTAAATAAAATTTGGAAATAATCAATAAAAGGGAAATTAAATCACTTTCTGAACATTCTTTTTTATAAATGTGCTTCATTTTTAAAACTCTTACTTTATATGTTTTTAAAAGATATTTATAAAATGTATAAGCCTTTTATACAGGGACAGATTATGATATATACCATTAAAAGTGGTCCATTCTACCCAGGAAACTTAATTTGTCACTGCTGGCCTCTCTGGACCTAAAAAGTTTATTTATACACTCAACTACTACCATCTAGTTCATTGGCTTACAGTTTGATTCATTCATAAAACCATTTGACATGATGACAGGCATAAGTGACTGCCACATCCCATGAACCATGCTGAGTCCTGAGGAATTAAAACTGAAGGGTGTTATACCTGACTGCAAAAAGCTCACAGAGCAATAGTGACAGACAAAGTCAAATGAATAACTTGAATGCAGCAGTCATGGTGCTAAGAGCAAGAAGGCCTGTTATGCTAGCATTTAAAGGACGCAGGAAATAAGAAGTGGGAGGAATTCCAGGAATACTTTCTTGAGGAAAGAATCTGATAGCCAAGATAAAGAACCTAGAAGAACATTCAAGCTAGGAAGGATTGCAAGGGCCCAAATGTGTCAGGAGATGCAGTATTTTCAGGAAATTGTGCATGTGTTGGCAATGGCACAGCAAACAATGTGAGCAGAAAATAGCTAAGGGGAATGTGGATTCTCTCATTTTATTTGATATTCTAAAATTCTATTAGTAGTATTTTCAGTTTAACAATCACCTTTCTTCATGTCAATAATTATCAATATTTATCAATATTATTATCATTAATATTATCAACAATTATATCAATCAATATTTCTTCTCCATCATTCAATTTCCTCCTTCCAGAATCCCACCTGGGCTCAATGGAAACTTCTAGGTCAATTGCCACATCTTGCTTTTTTCTTGCATGTTTTCCATGTTTTTGTCTTTGGAAGCATTTGCCTGATTTCTTCAGTTCAATCTTCCATTTATCAATGTTTTCTTTAGTATGTCTAGACTGTTCTTTCATCCAGCTACTATTTTAAATTTTAAATAATTATCTTTTAATTTTGAATATTCTTAAATAGCTCTTTTTTCAAGATCATCTACTACTAATTTATAGTTTAAAGCTCTTTTGATAATTCTTTTAAGAAACTAAAATGTTATTTTCTGTTTTTTTCTATTGATTTAAATTTCTTTGGATTGTAGTTTCATGAGTGTTAGGTTAGCTTCTGCTTTTTTTTTTTTTTTTTTTGAGTTGGAGTCTCACTCTGCCACCCAGACTGGAGTTCAGCGGCAGCTCCCGGCCACCACAGCCTCAAACTGCTGGGCTCCAGCGATCCTTCTGCCTCAGACTTCCAAGTAACTGGAACTACAGATGCGTGCTACCCCACCTGGCTAATTGATTTATTGTAGAGATGAGGTCTCGCCAGGTTGCCCAGGTGGGTCTTGAACCCATGGGCTCAGGCAATCCACTCACCTCAGCCTCCTAAAGTGCTGGAATTACAGGCTGAGCCACCGAGCCCGGCCAGCTTCTGCTTTATAGGAAGATGTTTTCTGCAAGCACCTTGTATTTCTTCATTGTGTATTTCTATTTTTTGTGTATTTTCTTTATTGGGTTGTGAAAGACTCTTCATTGGGTGGTCTCAGGAATGTCCTCAGGCAATTTTGACATTCTGTCTGAGTAATGGCTGTAGATTAGGTCATATGTGGCCATTTGGGCCAGAGCCCTTCATCACAAATGGTGATCTAAGGCCTTTTGATTATGAATCCAGTTTTAAGGCAAGGGCCCTGTCTAGCACTGTCCTCTCAAGGACACCAACATTCCAGCCCCTCCTGTTGTGCCTAACTTCAGCTGCAATGCCCTGAGGGTCACAGAAACTTAGCCTTACTTCTTGCTGTAGGTTTTCACCTGCTCCTTTCTTTGAGGTTACCTTTCAATCTGAGGTATGTGAAAAACCCTTGTTCTTGTTTTTGAATGCAGTTATGTTTCTGTTACTTATTTTTCTATTACTTTCACATGTTTGCAGTAAAAAGGGGGAAGATTTCTGTGTTCAACTTTCCATCTTAAACTGGAAGTCAACATAACGTTGGAGCTACAAAAAGTGGCAAGTGGCTTTCATAGTTTGAATTTCATCCTGAAGCCTTTTCAGAGATCATTGGAAGGTAAAGTTCTTTCAGCCCTTTAGCTTGATATACAATAGAAAACCACACAGCATTCTAGCTAGTTCACTGGCATGCAAAGGCATGCTGGAATCTACAGTGATGTAATTTTCCTAATTATCCTTTATATAGGTCAATACATAATGCAAATTTCTCAGGCTCCTCCTTGTCCCAAGATATTTGTTAAGCAGATGTGTTAAACAGTAAGGTTGTTGGAGAACATCTTGGAACTCCTTCTCCAGAGATTTTTAAAACTACAAAACTGGAAATAAATTCCATCACCTAAACATAGCTTCTCAAGGTGCTTGCAATCACTTGCAAGTGATGATGAACCACTCAAAAACTCAATTTGATAACAACAAAAAAACCTACTCAGATGAGTCAGAGGCCTCATGCAAGGTTGTGCTTTTTGGAGCAATTTGGAATAACTGACAACTCTAAAATGCTTTATAGTCTTCAGAGTACAAAGATATTTATTATCTCTTCTGATCTTCTCCATAACAAGGAAGAGAAAGTCATATTGCAGAAAGTAAACCTGAGCTACTGAGAGGTTAAATGACCCCTCCAAGGGTGTGCGGAAAGTTAGTTGACAGATGGCAGGAACTAAGAGTGTTCATGACTCAAAGGAGACAAAGACTATGGTGGACTCATTGGAGACAGCATCATAGGGAGATAGACCCCCAAGCTGAGGCTCAGAGTAAGGCACTCTTTATATTTAGAATAATTTGTATGTTGTTTTTACAAAAAAATATTTGTTTGCTCTCTTATACACATTTCACAAGAACATGTGGAAATTAAAAAAAAACTGGGTATTTTTCAATGTCTGTACTATAATTCACAAGTTCTAATAAGATTACTTCTGCTTAAAAATAAGCCACCACAGCCT